TTCTAAGCAAACCAGGGACCACTTGTTTTCCTCTTGGACAAGTTTCATTATCCACCCACTCGAAAAAATGCATACCTCTTCTGCTATTCTGGAAATCAAATCTGACCCAATTTCAGACCTCACCAAGCAATTACAAATGGAAAAGAACAACTTTTGCAACCTAAATAATAACTTACCGAATTTTTATCACAAGCATCGAACCTTCTTCCCAGGTTCAAATCTTTTCATGAAGTCCGACGAATTATCTTTGTCCCATAGGCGCAGTACCGACTTGTGCCTCTTGAGGTCGTTGACATTGCAAACCTAGGGTTCTAATTTGGGGGTTTTGGTGGAGCTTCTAACATAAATGGGAGGGAATGCTTATGAACATTGGTTTCATCGTTTTTGAGGAGGGTACTCACCTAAAAATATGGTCTTGTCCCTCGAATTCACGGAATAATACACAGACTTTGACGGATGGACCATCTTGATACAAAATAAAGAGTTTAAGGACGGTTCAAATGAAAATTTTAGTTGGTGGACCAAAATGATACTGGAGCAATAGTTGGGGGACCATTTAAGTCATTAAATTCAGGACTTAGGGATGGCAATTGGGTCAGTTTGGGGCCAGGTATGACAATATTAGCCTCGTCCTCGCTTCCTATCTCTACCCCTATCCTCGATAAAAAGATTTTGAGGAATTCTGATCCCCGTTGGGGGCTACCTCCCAAACCCGCTGCTTGGTTTTTCATTTAAAAAATATTTATCCTACATTATAACACTTAAATTTCATCTTAAATTATCATTCAATTGAATTATAAAATTCAATTCAACAATTCAAAATAATCTCAATTCAATTTAACAAAATTAAAGAAATATTAGATTATATCATAACCATACATGACTATTTTATATATAAATAAAAATACATATGTTACTTATCATGCTGGATATGAAGATGGGGATAACAATACTATCCCCATCCCCGACCGATGATTTTTAAAATTTTGGGATCCCTGTACTTGCCCCCTGATTTTCCCCATAAATTTCTTCCTTTAGGGTCGGGGACTTGACCCGACGGGGATTTGTGCCATTCTTATATGACCACTTGGGAGCATGCCAAAGGTCTAGGCCAATCCTACTAACACCCCATTGGTGTGGTGCTTTTTATTATTGTTAAATTACTCGAACACGACTTTTTTGTTTAATTTTTGCTTTGCTGCTTTGAAGTTTATCGAATTTTAATATTGTTGACATATTTATTAATTCATAGTGGTCATGTATTTAGGGTGGTAACATGCCAAATAAAAAAAAACCTAGCCGCACTCTGGTCCCCTTTCTCCTTGCCAACAACCAACCACAAGGAAGCTTTCCCCTCCTACCCTCCGCCCATCTTCCCCTTCCTCTCCTCATCTCCCCTTCTTTTTCTCCCATATTTTCCCTTCCTCTTATCCCCTCTTCTCCTCCCCTTCCCCTCCCCAGATAGTCTAAATTTGTTTGGATATAGGTCTATTTGTCTGTTTGTTTTGTTTGATTGTTTTTGCAGTGTTCTACGTGGCTGGTGTTGTCTTTATCTCGACGGCGGTGATAGTAGTGATGTTGGTGGCTGATGTTTTGTCTCTGTTTCAACGGCGGCAGCAGCAGCGACCCTGGTTGTAGTTATTGGGATGTGATGCTCTTCTCTACTCTGCGCCGACCAAAGAACTATGCTTGGTTATAAGAGGTTTTCTTTGTCCGGTTCTAAGTTGATGTGGAGTGCTTCTTAGGGGTCTTTTTACTATTGTTTATGTGTTCCTCTTGCATGTTCTCTCCTGGTTTTTGCTATGGTATGCCTTGTAGTTTGTGTGGGTGTCAAAGGACTATTATTTTGCTCATAGAAGGCCTCTTTTGACAGTTGGGATGTTTTGCGGTCTTCTCATGTGTGTCTACTGTGTTGGTCTATAGTTGCGGTTCTCGTCGGAGGTCTATGTGTTAGTTTTCGTTTTTGATTTGTTCTTTTGTTGTAATGGTCCAAAGTGACCTGAATCGGACTCTCTTGTTAGTCCATGACATGTGTGGTACTCTTTCCTCTCCCAGGGTTTGTCCCATGAAATTGTGTTGTGAAATTATTGCAAGCGCACAATTCGCACAAGTAATATAGAAATAAGTAGAGTGTCGTTCCCACGAAGACTGTAATTTCCTATTAATTACCAATTATGATTAATTCAAAAGTTTATTTGAATAGTTGATTAAGGAGATTGATTGATTTAAGTAAACTAAAGCAATTATGAAAAATAGCAATTTAATTAATGATAGAAAATCAAGATGATGAGACACTAGAGCATCCGATTTCACCATAACCAATTCCACTTAATTCTTATAGCCAATTAACCCTAATTACTACCCATGTTGACAGTTGGTTTCTCCTAATTCATTCGATATCCCCTCTCGGGCTCAACCAAAAGTATTCTTAATTAACAAC